GGTTTTATGCTCATAAACCCATTCTTGCTGGAAAGCTATACCGCACTTAGATGACAAAATAAAACAGAAAGGGAAATAGCAAGAGGTGGAAGCATATTTTGCTAGTTGTCTAATAGTTTTTATAACTATACAACCATAGCACTAACCTTCCAGTTCTTTTACTAAGAAAATACTGTCATTTTACGAATCAACAACAGCCAATTTAGTTTGCAAAGTCAGGTCAAATAAGACCAGATTCATTAAGTTGCTACTTTTAATCCTATCCTGATGTTTGGTTTGTTTAAGAAACCTGATTATGGTAATCTCTTCCACTTCTAATCCAGCAAATTTATCCCGTAGGAACTAGGTTTAACTTAGTCTGGTACATTAGCAAATTTTCACTCTCAGACCAAGTTGCCCTTATGTAACCAAAAACTACCTTAAAACTAATAGAAAAAAAGCTATTTTATACAAAAATATATTTTCAAAATCAGTAAATGGAAAATAATTTAAAAAAGTATAATCTATCCAAAATACAAGGATATGTAGAAATTATTTGAAAAGTATAGAGATCTTTTTTGTAAAAGACCAAAGAGATAAAATCTCGAGGCTAGTTATTTCAGGAAGAAAAAAAAAAAAGTCCAAAGGCTAGGAAAGAGGTTCGAATTTGTGTTAGCTTCTGAGCCCCAGAAGCCACCTCAATTGCACTGCAGTTTTTTCTCTAATGCTGTTTGCAAAACCATCTGTTTGAGGGCTTATGCCTGCAATGCAGTCCCTTCTCCTTAAAACTTGAGATAAGACTAATACTTGTAGATTTACTCTGTATTAAACTTGTTGTGCTCATGCATCCAATATTATGATTCAGAACATATTAAACTTCTTAAACTCATGCATTAAATATTATGATTCAGAAACTATATATACTGCACTACACTTTTATTTAAAAGAAAATGATTCAGAAACTATATATATAGAGAAAAAAGGATGATTACTCATTGATCCTGCACGGTTAGTGTTTTCTTTAATTGAGAACTGGGGTATGTTAGTCATGTATCCTGTATCTCATCCTATAAATCTATTAGCCAAACTATTTCAGAGATTATTGTTAATCCAGCCTCACAATAATGCTAAACTGCTAACTGACTACCACCTTACCCGATTCAGGAATCAGACCGCAGTAAGAATCATTCTTAGTAAGTCAACATAGGAAAGAAATTTTCTGTCAATAGAAACCTATAAAAAGATTTCTCTTTCTTTTGTTTTCGGAACTTCTGACGAAACAAAACATTTTCTTCAAATATTGTGTTGGGGCATCCACAATTAAAAAAATAAAAATAAAAATAAAGAAAACCTACCTGCTCTCTTGAAAAGTTTCCAACACGACCACCTTCACTAAGAGTTCGAACACCAACGACAACAGCTCCTCCTGAGTCTGAATTTTCTGCTGCTCGTCCACCACCAACTATAAGCCGCATAACACCTCCCCGGGCTTCGTTCTTACTGACCTGCAGAAAATCCAGGGTAAGAATGGTGAAGGCATAATTAAACATCATCAAACACATCCCTACTAAGGTGAGAAAAATAGGAGGTTGGAACCAAACATTCCTACTAAATATGAAGCTACTAATATTATCAAACTATCAATCTCAAAACACAAACTGCCCCTTGGTTAGTTAGTTAGTATTTCAACCTCTCTGCAAGAGGGTTTGGGTTTGAGGTCCAGACTATTCACCTCTGGTAATGGGCATGAAGCAGAAAAAAGACACTGTCAATCTTAACGATTGAAATGAAACTGACCAAGTTAGCAATGACCATTCCAAGTGCAAATTTAGTTAGAACTCACACCTCATGTAATGATAATGGTCAACAATAAAGCATCAGATAGTACACCACTCTTATCTCAAAAAAAAAAAAATCAGATAGTATACCACTCTCATCTCAAAAAAAAAAAAATCAGATAGGATACCACTCTAACTTGTTCTCTTATAGATTTACAGTAACAACAAGACAAAAGTTGTGACTTTCTCTATTAACTTAAAATTTTGAAAGAATTGGAACCCCAAATAAAAATATCCCTAGTCAAAACCTTGAAAATATCACACATCAGTTGTTTCTGTGTCCACTTGCACTTTCTTGGATTTTAACATAAATAAACTCTCCACTAATCTTCATAATGATAAAAATGAAAACCTTTCTGTTGCAGACACATCCATGAAAAATAAAACAAAAGAGTGCACAAGTCTAACCATCTTACATATTTCAGAATGATGCAAAACGAGAACTCTAACATCTACATGCTTATAGGAGGAAAACAAAAGCAGAAAAACCTTAACATTAAACAATAGGCTCATTATGAGTCTTTCTTTTTTTTTCTTTTTTGAAATAAAAGTGTGAAATCGTATTGATGCAAGAGTGTCAACAGGACACAACCCATTTATGATGTATTTACAAGTAGATTAAACTACTGACAACAAACGTTAATTCTTCCTCTTAGAAACTTCTGAACATGTACATTGACACATAAAATAACCCAAATCCAGTAACAGGATCAAAGAGCAAAATCCATAAAGCATAACTTATATTTGCAGGTATTCCATCAGAAAGGCAAAACTGGGACCGTCTCAGAAAGTGTACTCATACACAAAATAACCCAAATCCAGTAACAGAATCAACGAGCAAAATCTATAAAGTGTACCTTATAATTTACAGGTATTCCATTAGAAAGGCGACACTGGACAATCCCAGTTTCCTTATCATGCAGTTTTGTGACATCTAATTCCGGAACTACAGGAACAAAAGATGGGCTACGCTGCAACCTTAACTCGTGCAATTGTGAGGGAGAAATTAACTCTTTTGGCACCTCAAGCTACAAAACAAAAGGAAAAGACAAATGAAAAAAAAATCTATACTCAATAAATGATTTACAAAGATATATTAGACAATTAAATTAAACTGAACTTCCAAAAGAGCTAGACCTCTGGTTCTGCCTCAATGGGTTCCTGCAATCCTGATTTCATAGCCATGGTAATTTCCTCGGGGGCTATGTTGAATTCAGTTTCACCAATTCCATCAACATGTACTTTTTTTGGTACACATGCAACAATTGCGGCAGGAAGAGGCGCAGTGGGTTTCCCAAAATCTGAGACAAATTCTAACACCTTAGCACCAATTGAATTGACCTGCACATAGAATAATTTTATATGATGAAGTGCTTGAAAGAAAAAAGTAGGCAAAAAGTATTGAACATAAGAAAAACTTCAACAAACATATTTCAGATAACATATGTTAATATATTGAACTGATAGCATATAATTAGTTTTTTGATAGAAGAAGAAATATTATTGAATGGAAGGGAAAGAAGAATACAACCAAGGAGGACATCCTCCGCGACCTAGAAAGTAAAAGAAAGCAAACAATACAAAAAACTAGATCCTAGAAATAAAACTTCCCAATTATGATATAGATCAGAGATGCTAATAGTAGGAAATGACCATGGGCCTTAATCCACAATGTAGCCAAAAAAGGTGGTGGAAAGGGTCATCTGGAATTAAAGACCGAGAATTCCTTGCGAGCCAAATGCCCCAAAGGCCAGCAAAGAGCGCTCCTTACAAGAGGGCCTTAGCCCGTGTTTGCAGTCCCTCCCCATTGTAAAAACAGTTTAGGAACATGAACACCTGAGGATTACCCAACTTAAACCAAAAGCCTTCACCAAATTTGTCCAGAACCTCCAAGATGTATTGCAGTACAAGAACAGATGTTAGTGCGTCTCTCCTCCTGCAAAACACATCACACATGTATCTAGAGACAAGGCACGATTAGCTCCGCGGGCTTGAAGTATCTCATTGGTATTTAGCCTCCGAAAAATGGCAGTCCAAGTGAACACCTTGACTTCGGGAGGAACAAGAGATTTCCAGAACTTGTTGGCCTTCAATATTGGGTTTTCATTAGGTTTGAAAATGAGATGCTCAAGAGAGGATTTGCAAGTAAATGTTCCTAAAGGTTCCAAGGTCCATACCCCTTAGTCTAAATGGGCGTTTCACTTCAAAAGATTCAGAAAGTTTACCATGTCAGAATCCTCCCTATCAGAAAGGTTATGGCTGAAGTGGGAGTTCCAATTAATACTTAATTGTCAAAGTTGAACTCTGAGACAGGAGTATCATGTCTAAGGGCCATATTGAATAAGTGTGGGAACTGTGTGGCTAACGGCTGATTCCCCACCTGAGTATCTTCACAGAATTTGGCTCTGCAGCCATCTCCCAGACAGATACGAGTGAAGGAGCCAAAGGATGTGTAAGCTTGGGAAATGGCTTCTGAGGACTTCGATGAAAGGTGGTTGTATAAGTAATGGCATCCCATCCATTACTCCCGCTCCCATAGATGCTTATGATCTCCTTATGCCATAGGGAGTTTGGTTCCTAAGGAAAGCGCCACAGTCACTTGGTCAATAATTTTTTTTTTTTTTTTTAATTAACCACTTAGCCAATAATGATATGTTCTTGGATATGAGATTTCCTAAATCTAATCCACCTGAACATCTAGGTAAGCAACATGTATCCCAATTTACCTAGTGGTCCCTCTTGTCCTCCCCAACCCCGGTCCAAAGAAAATTCCTCATATGACTCTCTAATCTCCCAGCCACTCCAATCAGAATTCTAAAAAATGGGACAAAAAAATAAAATGGCACACTGGAGAGGCGAAACTGGATCGAGGTGACTCTCCCCCGAGTGAGAAAAGCCCCCCTTTCTAAACTCTCTAGGCACTTAGCCAGTTTCCTATCAACCTTCTCCCAAAATTCCTGGCTATTAGGATTGCCCCCCTAAAGGTACTCCAAGATAGGTCATGGGCGAGATCTAACCTGGTACATCTGATAGACCTTACTAGGTAGTTCAGATCCTCTCCCACCGAATTCACCCCAGCTAAGCCACTTTTAGCCAATTATAGCATATACTTTGCATAATTAAAAAAAGAAAAAAATTCCAAATATTACGGATAATTAGTTTTTGATGCAAATATACAAGGTTGTGTACGCACATATTTTTATGAAAGTTCATGAACACAGATGTCAAAGTAAACAAGTGACCACTAAAAAACAGAGCTACATAACACTGGTTCAAGAAACAGGAAAGTTGGGAAAGAGAATTTTTGGGAACATAAGTTACTTCTTCAAGTGCAACTGTTCCAGCAACAGCAACCAAACTCTCGTGTCCCTGTCTTTGGTCCATAACTGTATGGCCCAATGCATCACTCTCCATAATAAAATCCAAGTTATCAACCGATGATACATTATCAATCATTGCTGCAAGATGTTCGCTATCTTTCAAAAGGGCATCCATGTAGCGAGTCAATTCACCCTTGGTAACACCAAACTCTTTCAGCCTCCGAACCTGCACCCAGAAGAAACTATCAGACCCTGGAAAAAATATAAAAAAGAAACACAGAGAGAGTCAGGTCATCATCAGCAAGAGAAGGGCGGAGAAAAAAGGTCGCTTTTCAATGATTTCCAATTAACTCCGTCCTATTGAAGGGGAAAAAAAAGACAGCAACTACCTTTGCAGCTACCATATGTCTTTTGAAATACAGCTACCATATATTGGGTTTCAATTCTTTGATAAAGTCACCATATGAGCAGCAAACAAAAAGGATAAACAAAGATAACAACAAAAAGTGTCTTTGTTATGATCCCCATTTTATGATCTAGTTTTGAGCTTGAAAAGTGCAAAATCAGATAGAAGGCTAGAGCATCAAGATGTTTTTCTTCCTTTATGACCAACGATTGAAAGTAGAAAGGGGATTGAATCTTTGAGAGAACGCAACAATAACTTGAAATTTAGAGGAAAAAAACATTTTTCCGAGCACTTCTCTTCTTAATTTTTCATTCCTAAACATCCATAAACACATATAATTATAAGGGGAAATAAAACTACCACTATATAACCAGTCACAATAAAACTACCTATTACACAAACAATAACCACCTAAAGATGCAAATACTGGGAACTAAAACAGAAAATGGAAAACTGAAGTAAATGTTCTGAAAAACTTAAAGTTAACTTGCTAGCACTGTTGACATGGACTTGAGTCATTTAAGAGTCTAACAGCATTCCTTTAATCCCATTCCATCTAGAGTAAGGTAATAAATCTGACAAGACCAATATTGTTAAACCACTTAAAGAACAATATAAATTACATATATGATATTAAGGGAAACAGAAAAAAGTATAAACCTCTTGAACAGCAACTTTGATTGCATTTTGCCAATTCTTGGGCTCAGCAGTGACTGTGAGAGTTGTAACAGTGCAACCTTCTCTTCCAGAATCGCTATGATCCAATTCAACTGAGGTAAATGGCGGATTTGAACTCTGAAAATTCTTTGAGTTAGTCAAAATCTCAAAGGAATATATGTCTTTCAAGTGAAAAAAAAAAAAAAATTAGTTATGCATTCCCATAAAATACTATCAAGTATCTATCATTGTTGACTTCTCAAACTTCTAGATCATTTTGAAGGGTACTTCATTTATCATCAAGACTGAGAAAAAGTGCAGCAGATTTTCATTTTTTTTATGAAAGAAGAAATGTTATTAACGAGAAGAAAGAAATAGTAAAGAGAGGTGGATAAGAGATCATCCTACAACACCAAGAAGTAACAAATAAAAAGAAAAAACTCCTTAAGTACAAAATGAATAGAAGTTCAATCCCCTTGCATAAATTAGATCTAAGTGCAAAAGGCAAGAATTTGATTATAAATTCAGGTGAAACCATAAGTGTTATCCAAAAGAAAGGCAACCTTCTAGCTTGGCTCAAGATACATGTTGGGCCACTTATTAAAAATTGATTGTGGGAGACTACGGAAAAGTAGCCAACAATTGTTTCTTCTTTCATGCACAATGAAGCCTGAAAATCATACAAATATTAATAACAACAGACCTTGTATCTTGTATTAATCCGGAAATGCAAAGCAGACAGAAATATTCTCTTCATCAAAACATTTCGCAGATCACCATATGTTTGAACCTTGTTAACTGGAATCTGAAGAAAAAATCAAAATAGAACATTTACATTAAAATAATCATCAAACTCATTGTGTTCAGTATTGAACAAATGCATACGAAAGACAACAAAATGAATAATATATGGACATATTGAACTAAATTCTCTGTTGTGTGCACTTAAATCATGATCAACTCTGCAGAAATAATGAGCTCAACCACTTGCCACAAGGCATTTATATCAAAAGTAAGACACAGTAACTGAAAATTTTAATCTTTTCAATCAAACTAAAACTCAAAAAACAAGTTGAGGACTCTGGAAACTATATTCTCAAAATAGCACCATATGGCACTAGAAGAGAAACCACAACTTCTATGAATCCGGAGGAGGAATAAAAATTTTACATGTTAGACAAAATTAAACATGCCAGATGCAGGCATCATGAGACATGCAAAAAATAGCAAAAGAACAAATATTCATCATGAGAAAAGATCTTGCCAGGCACATCGAGGAAAAAAAAAAGAAAGAAAACTTCTCTAAAAGCCCTTTTAATCTTTAACATGGCATAGAATTTAATAATTTAAAAAAAAATACATCTCGACCTTGCAAAACATATTAATTGAGAAATTCTGAAGCAACTCGTGCTGAAATATCTGTGGAGGCTTCATATCTGCACTACTTCCAGGAAGAGACCAATTGTGTTTTACAGGAGGGCGAACTGCATGCCTTTCCCGTTTAGAGACTTTTGATTGATCTGCAGAATTTGATCTTTCATGAGCCAAGTTTCCCGCCAATCCAGCTGAGAGCTTAGGAACAAGAAAACCAGCCATGGCACCAAATGTACTAGGAGCAGAAGTGGGTAAAGGAGCTGTCTCATTTTCAAGGCCAGTCTGCCCAAAGACAGCCTGCAGAGAGACAACTGATAAATCAAGATGGTGATTCTTGAATTCATAAATTTCCTCATAATGACCAACAAAGTGACATTTATAATAATACTTATAATTAGTGGCATACTTCAATCTGGTAAACAGTCTTTGAAATATTGTCAATATCCCCCACAATATACAAGGTTGCATTTGCTGGGAAGTACCAGCGCTCATGGAATTTCCTTATCTTATCTGCATCCCACTTCTTAATCTGTTCCTCCAGTCCTATCGGGAACCTTTTGCTCAGCTTGTTTTCAGAATGCAGATGTTGTAACAACTGTGCTCAAAAGAAAATCATATAAACATTTTGCATAAAATGAAAATACTGACCAGCCTACCAAAATACTATACATGTTTCCACCTGGCAATCAACACGATACTCAATTGTGTTCATCATCTGCAGTTCTGAAAGTATAGCACGTCGTTCTTTCTCAACTCGAGAAGAAAGGAATTTTGGGTGGAAAGCTATCTGTATGCATGAAAGAATAATAAATATTTGATACACTAGATGAACGACAGTCAAGAAAATGCATCCATGAAACATGCCATAACAGAAGCTAACAGCCGTGCCTTGAAAAGCGAGAATAAAATAGAAAGAAAAAAAAAAGGTAAGTGGTATAGATTTTTTTAAAATTTAAAAGTATACCAAGTATATCAAATCGGCGGCATCAAGAGGATACCACCAATGTACAAAATTATTTACAAATCAGTAAAAATATCTATAAAATTCCCAAAATCTTCAATACTGTAAATATGATATCCTAAAACCAAAAAACCCAAATAGTGTAACCACTTGTCCCTTTTTTGGCGAACTCCTCTTCTATCCCTTAAAAGTTCTACTATTCATCTCTTTCCAAACCATCCAAAATATAGTAACCAGAATAAGACTTACAATTTTCCTCCCCTTACTGATTCCTTCCCAAGCCCAAAATCTCATCTCTAACTGACCTGCAATAACCCACCTGATCCCCAACAAGCCTTAAACCATAGTCCATTACCTATACACCACCAGGCACCATAATAGAATATGATTACAAGACTTAGCTTCTTTCTCAGACAGAAAGCATTCATTTACCATAGTTTTTCCCCTTCTCATCAGTTTATCAATGGTCAATATACACTCTTTTCCAGTCTCCCATACAAAGAACGCAAGTGATATAGATATTACCCAGTACCAAAGGATTCTCTTTTGAAAGGGACAAAAGAATCAACTACATACAAACTCTATGATACGCACCTCGTTCAAGGCATCAAGCACAGGGGGAAGTAAATCCTCATCAGAATCCTGGCAGGAACCATTCAATTCACTATAAGTATATAACTAATATCTTATTGCAATTCAATCAATATACTAAGATAAATGCATTAATCAATTAATTACACAAAGGATGCAGGAGTTGCTTTGCCAATAGCTTGATGCTGACAAGACCTCTATGTAGATAAAATGAATAATACTGTATCATTTTCAAGGATTCCTTCCTTGGCCCAATTAAAAATTGAGACTTTATGCCGAAACAAAATCAGATGAAAAGACAAAGGAAGAATGACTACAATTAAAACAACGTGAACTTGATGCTGTAATTGTGATATAATAAATAAGCACATAACTAGAATTAAAACAACATGAACGTGATGCTGTAATTGCAAACCTTTGAACTAGTTGGGGAATGGATGTGAAAAACTGTGTGATGAAAATCAGTGTAGGCATTAGAACGGGCACCGGTCCCAAGAAGTTTTTCACGTTTCTTGCTTCCAAGGAATGCAACATGTTCAATCATATGCGCAATTCCTTGCTCATCCTCTTCCTCATCAATAGATCCTACATGAACTTCCATGTGCGCTTCAAATCTGAAAAGTTAAAGAAAATGATAAAGTGCAATGATATGAGAGAGAGACAGAGAGAAAAGGACTCAAGTATCAGATACTATGAACTAATAAAAAATAAAATATATATGCTTCATTGGTAAGTCCATCAGCTGAATTCTCTCACAGTTAAAATAAATTATGTTCTACTCAATCTGTCAATGTCATCAAAGGCCTGATGTCACTTTGCTCAAAGGGAATACTGGCATCTTATAAATAAAACTAATACCAGATGGGATCTCAAATAGGAAATGTGAAAACTCAAAAATTAGAATTAGTTTTTCATGTCTTGTATAATTCAACAATGAAGGAATTGAAGCGAACAGCCAAGATTGTGCTAACAACATTTTCCATTGGGTCATTTACAATTATATGAGGTAGAGCAAGATTTTTGAAACTAAATGATGGATGAAATTTGTGACAAATCTGGATATTTGTACAATGTTGCTTGCACCAAAATGTTAAACTCTCCTCCCTGCTAAAATGCCATGTTACATTTATTTTGCAGCTTTCTGAATTATCAGTCTCTTTGATTTATTGGTTCAAACAACTGAAAGACAAAACTACTAAATGATCTTGCAAAATTCCATTTGTTTGTGATATTTGAAGAATATAAGCACAAAGTAAACTAGAGCAGGAGTATGTATTACACAACAATTTCAAAAGTCAGTTGTCCTATGCAGACAGTCGTGTATGAATTAATCCTCTTTATCTATCTTCATGCAAATCCAATCACTTCTGACTGGGAAAATGCCATCTCTAATAAATACATCAATCCTATAAATATTATGTGGATGAGGAATACCTGTTTGGTGGAACTTTATTTGGCAAAATAAGATAACGAAGCCCATTATTCAACTGTCCTCTATGCAATTTCGGGTGAGAAGGAAGTTTGGAATTCAGAAAAGCCTCTAACTCTATTTTATCGAATTGAGGATATAATATATCCAAATCTTGTCTATCAACAACTCCATCTGGCCACGTTGTACTTGCTGCATGTGGCTCATCTGGACCAACTGTTGCACAGGGAGCATGAGTCCGCTTTGCCTGACAATTATGCAAACTACAAATCAGCCCAAATAAATAAACGCACTGGAAGTTTGGAACTTGGGTGCATGCAGCCCTTTTCATTAATGCGCAAGAACTTGGGGTTGATTACTCACAGAAGCAATGTCAGACTTCGACAAAGCAAAAGTAGTTTTGTCCATAAATGCTCTTGGTGCTGATCTTTTAATTCCAGGACGACTTCTACCATTGTTAAGGGAGCAAGAAATGCACTCATACCGTTGGGGAAAAGGTGTCTTGGAAGCTCGCCCTTCAAAAGTGGAAGTATGTCGTCTCCGGGTATCGCTTCTCCTCCTATGTGTCCCACGCAAATCATCTCTAATTTCTTGGTGCCACCTTCATCCAAGAAGTCCACAAAAAGAAGGGCAATAAAAAGGAAATCAGCCAAAAAGACATCAATTATAACTCTCAGCCAGTGATACAACTTCCACTACAAAAAAAAAAAACAAATCCTCGGGTAGTTTAAGAACACACACACACATATATATATATATATATATGCATATATACGTGCGTACATGTTTAGGGAGAACGGTGCATGATAGCAGGAATTATGCAAAATAGATTGCAGAAGCCATTTCAAAAATAGAGATGGGATAAGAGAATTAGAATAAGCTCCCGGGATTCTTATAGCAACCATGAAGGAAGAGGAGAAGTAAAGGATTCTGATACTGGATTGATCAAGTATATGAACGATACAAACATACAGATGTATATATGCACAGGTGGAAAGTTTCAGCAGATAAATTTTTTTTTTTTTTTCTATTCAGTGGTATAATGAAGAATTAAAGAATACCCGGCGCAGTTAGAGAAAAGCAGAGACTGAGTTTTTGGCATGCAATCTGGTCAAAGGACTGGCAAACGAGAGACAGGCGCGGGGCACCGCCGGAGTAACAACCCTAACTCTGCTTCTCGCTCCTCTTCTAGAATTGCAGGTATAATCTGGTGTATTTGAAATCGAAGGAATTTGAGGGAGCCTCACGGCTGCTGCAATGGAGCTGGACGACGTGGCCATTGCCTCTCTGGCTCCTATCCCCTAGCTTTTTTAACCGCAAACTGGCAAGCCGCGAGAGAGAAAGACAAAGATAGAGAGAGACTCTCTCTTTCTGCTTCCACAATCAACTAGTATTATTTTTCCTTGGGTGAAACCAAAATTAATGGAAAAAGCAAAATGAAAAACGCCTCTCTTCCGTGGGTTATTGGGGAGGATATTTTCACATGACAAAGTCTAGTTCTGGGATTTTGGCCAATCAAGGTGTTTTTCGTCCTTTTATTTTCTGAAAATTTTTAATTTATTAAATTTATTTGTGAAAAATACTAAATATGTGACCTTGGGATATATTAACGTCAATATAGTGATGATAATAATTTTTGTTTTATAAAAGTTGGTGATATGATGTTTTCAATTTATGATGTTTGCATAGAAAACCAGTGAAGAATTATAGAGGAAAATAAAAAAAAATATATATATATTCAAAAAATATATGCTAAAGCACTTGCACCGTTTTCAATAATTTATGTTCAAATATAAAACATATTTTAAAATTTTTTCAAATAAATTCTACTGTCAATAATTTTCAACACTATTTAATAAATATTCATATAGCACGCTAATACTTTTAAACATGTATTTTTACTTTTCAATTATCACTTATAAAGATATGGATGAAGATAAAATAAATATAAAATGGTACATAACTTGTTTAACAGTACAATAACTTTCTCTAACAGTATCTGGTATCACTAACGAAATACATGACATAGATAAGTCACATTATAATATTTTTAAATTTGTTGACAACACATTCATATCAACACCCGTGTGTATGTCATGACACAAATTTTTTTTTTTTTAATCCCTTTTTACTCTACAAATTAGCATCTTTTACCATATTTCACTTTCTATTATTCTTATCACATGCAGTTCTTCTCGTGCTGTTTAGAGAGATAAAAGAAAATTAAAGAAAAAATAATGATGGTTGATGTAATACCGGGACCCGAAATTCTAATATTAATTTTAAAATTTTAAAAAATATATAAAAATATAATTTTGAAATTTATAATTTTTTATTTATTTAAAATTAGGAAAAAAAATAGGTTGAGAATGAAATTAAAAATAATTTAAAAAAAAAAGTGAAAATTAAGGTTCAGATGGTATTTTTGAAAGAAAAATCGAAAACTGATAGTCAAAACGTAATTAAGAAAAATTGCACTACGTAGGACCGCCCAAGTCAGCAGCCCCGCCGAACTGGAGCGCCCCACATGGCAAGGCACACTGACTCGGTACCATACGAGAGGCCACGCGATCGGATGGCCTGGATGCATTCATACGCGCGTGGACGGTCCGGATCAGTTTCCTCTTTAAGCGCGATCAAACAGTCGCGATTAAACATGATGAACGGTCTAAATTTGTTCTCTCTTTAAACACGATCGTACGGTCGAGATCAAATCATAGTGAATGATTCAGATTAATTTCTTCTTTAAACGCAATCGGACGGTCGAGATCAAACGCGATGAACGGTCCATATTTAAGGGAGACGGGTATAAATATCTCACATCACACCGAACCCAAACCCTAGCAGCCAACCTCCCGCCAGAGGAGAATAACTAGTCAACGGAGAAAGGAGTCGACGGCCGCTCGCCGCCGCGCCAAAGCCACCTCTGACCGTCAAAAAAAGTAAAAATGCTCATATCCGCTCGAAATTTGATTTCAAACACTCAATGGCTAAATATGAGAAAAAAGAACAACAGATGAGTCGAAAACTGTTGGCAAAGCCCGGCAGCGCCGCCGCGAACAAAACCTGAAACTACCTCCGATGAGCTTCTTCCCCTTTTTTGTTTCGTACAATTTTCTATTATTGTGTTTACCATTCTGTTTTCTACAGGTTGACAGAAGAAAAACGCTCAGCCACGAAGGTGAGCTGGCGGAGCTGCCGCACCGGAAAGTTTCGTTGTCGGTAGGTTTTTATTTTTTTACTTTTCTCGACCAACCGAGACCTCCTAACGTGTTTTCTCGTAGGAATGGGTATAAAATTGGGCGAAAACGGCCAAAATTGGCCAAAAACGGCCATGCCGAGGCAACCACCGCCGCAAGCAGCGGTGCCGTCACCGGAGTATGGTGGTGCCGCCGTGTGGAAATTCAAAAATTGGTTGGAAAAGATTTTTAACATCGATTTTTGATTTTTGGGGGTATTTTTAGATACATAAAGCGTATTTTAATATTTGTAAAAAAAATTATGAAATTCGGGGACCATCAGTAGACGTAGCTGATAGTTTGGTGTTTCGAACACCGATTCGGGTAAGAATCTCTCACATTCTCTATTATGGAATTGAAGCTTAATAATCAGTAATATGGTATTTTGTATAAATTAAAAAACTCTGAGAATAATTACAGGTTACTAATGAAGCCGAAACTAGTTAGTCATTTATTTGTTGTCCTGTGTAACTGATTGTTGAATTTACTACTTTAAATACATGATGATATTCTAAAATGGTTAAATGATTCAATTGTGCTTCCTTGATATATATATTGCTTGTCTTGCGTGATTTACAGTTGATTTGTAAAATTAGAAATTAATATGCAAACGGAAAATTATTTGGTTATGTGAATTAATGAATGGTAGCCTTACTGGATATCCTGTGAGATGGTGGATGAACCGGGTACATAGTAAATTCTACCATGAACGTTGCTTCATACCGGATGAGGTATCGAGAAATGGTATTTTTGGCGCTCATATCGGACGGTGTATGAGAACGGCCCAATTCACTCTCATACTGGACGGAGTATTAAGATATGGTACTTTTGGCGCTCATACCGAACGAGATATGGGGATGGTTAGTTAGTTAAAAATGTTAAATATTGGTTCACGCGTAGTGGGACATCCTTATGGACCCCTAGGGATACTAGTGGGCAAATAAAAATAGAAGATTATTTCTATTGCTCACTTGAAAATGAAAATGAAATGTTATTTGAATTATTGTATCCCTATCGATCGATTTTAGAAATCTCGCAATGGTAGATATATGCAATATATGGTTTTCCTTATGATAAATGAATTTACTTAAATCAAGAGCTCTATTGGTTATTTTTATAATTTTTACCAACCTTCAGTGTCTGTATCAGTGAGTAGTGTGAAATTCTTACTGGGTTAGTATAGCTCACCCTTTGATTAACCATTTCAAATCAAGAGGACCAAGACCGAGATCCCGATCAATAAGAATATTGTGAATAGTTCACCACCCGAACTCCTTTTAAAAGTTAGTGAAGGTCGTCCTAAAATACTTAGCATATTGCCTTTTATTTATTTTCTTGATTTTTTTTGTTCTTTTAGAAGTGACATTCTCGTAACCCTATTGGGCATTCTAAATTATTGTGTAAAGAATATAAACCATAAATTCTATTATTTCGCTTTCGCTTTTAATTCATATCTTTATTTCCTTTTAAGTTTCAGACTTTTAAAGTTGGTATTAGAGTCACGTTCCTCGAAACTATTTCTTATACAAAAACCTTAAAAACACCAAAAATAATGAATTATCACTCAAGCATTTATTGTGAAATGCAGATACAGGTAGATGAAGAGATGAAGACCCCCACTAAATTGAGCAGCTTGAGAGGGTTCATTTCGAGAGGATGTTCAACCAACTATTTGAAATGTTGGAGAGACTCATCGCTGCCTAGTAAGCCCAGGAGGAAATAAGGGAGCTACTTGACCCTCTTCTGCTACCGTAGTTTGAGCCACCCCTGCAGCGGGAGGATCCTGAGCCACCTCGATATGACTTTGCTCTTTCACAGTACCATCCAGCACCACCACAGTATGGTCCGGTGCCCCAACTGTATCACCCGGCACCACCACAGTATAGTCAGGTGCCCCAACCGCATCACCCGACACCACCACAATACAATTCAGTGCCTCACTGTATCATCCAGTACCACCACAGGCCCATCTAATCTATCCCTAGCACAATCCATTCCCTTTTTCACGGGATCTAGTTTCTCCAATGATGGACCCAAACTACATTGAGAGGTATAAAAGACTAAAATCATCTATTTTTATAGGAGCATCCTCCTTTGATGAAGCCGAGTATTAGTTAACTGAAACAAAGAAGACCTTCACGACTCTTGGAGTGATTCCCAAACAGAGAGTCATATTTTTCACCTACATGCTGGTGGGAGATGCAGGCCACTGGTGGCAATTCAAGTAGACTACCCTTCCTATTTCAGTCACTTGAGAACAGTTCTTGATGGCCTTCAATGCATAGTACCTCTTAGAGCATCTCTGACATCTGAAGAAAATAAAGTTTGTACACCTGATCCAGGATGATATAACTATCTCAGAATATGCTCGAAAGTTCTTAGAATTGGACCGGTATTCCTTTGAGAGCACGATAGATAAAGGCATAAAGGTAAAAAAGTTTGAGTGGGGTCTCCGTCCTAAGATTAGACAGCAGTTGTATGTGTTCGAACTCAATACTTACTCGGCTATTTTGGCCAAGGCACAACTAGTAGAGAGGAACCTTCGTATTTTTTCTCCAGTAATAGGGAACCTCAGGCCCTCGATTTCACACTGTAAAGCAGCCTTCACTGCATCTGTTCAGCAGAATAAGAGACCTAGGCTAGTGACTCAGGCTTCTCCTCAAATTCTAACAATAGGACGCGGTAGAACTTACTAGCACTGTGGCAAAGATCATGGGGACTAATCCTATTATTGCCTCAACAATACTTATCGTATTTATGGGAATACCCAGCATTACGCGAGAGAGTGCCCGAAGAACCAGAACCAGGCCAGACCTCCTATCTATGGCAGGACTTACAACCTCACTCAGTAAGATGTAGAAGCCAACCCATACGTAATACAGGGTACGTACACTATCTATAATGATATTGCACATGTTTTGATTGATATTGGTGTCTTACATTCATTTGTTTCACATGTTTTTATACCAAACTTGAATGTATTACCTGAAAGGCTTGATTATGTGTTATTTGTGTCTACTCCTGGGAGTAGAATACTACTGGGGGAGGTTATGTACAGAGCATGTATTATAGATATAGCAGATAGAAAATTGAGTGTGGACCTAATAAAAATTGATATGGGAGAATTGGATGTAATCCTAGAAATGAACTAGCTAGTGGTGTATCACGCCACCGTAGATTGTTTTCACAAGAAGCTTGTATT